GTACTACTCTAAACTTCCTCCTGCCTCCCCCCTCCCCCTCCCTACACTGCTCCTTCGCTACCCTGTACCAGAACTTGGTATTTTACACAAACCTTCAAGTGTACACAACCTATCGTAACACAAAGACGAGCTGTCATTGGTCGGGTCGGGGCGGGGTGGGGCTATCTCAGATATTTCGCGCGACACCGGCTATACGTTTCCGCACCACTCAACGGATCCTCTCCAAACTTGGTCGGAACATTTTACAGATCATGACACGTTGCATGGGCTATTTTTTCAATAATTTGTTCAAAAACATTAAAAAAGCGGGAAATTTTTGCATCGTGCGCGGGGCAACGTCACAACACGAAAACACCTAACGGGCATGGACTAGTAACTATAAACGCAAGTCATTAACTGACAGTATAGCTTCAGTCCGTGAGTGGTGTTCTAGTAACAAAATGGTCCTCAATCCATCGTGTAATGGTTGAGTTTATCGTTCTTTCGTGAATCGTATAGTGGTACGCATCGGTGTTATCACCGGTGCTAAACGTTGTCATGTATAATGCATAAAGAACGCAAGATAGCTGGTATGTACGTATTAAGCCAGTAAACGTTTTAATGATCATATCTTAACTAAGTTATAAACCCACAGACTGGGCAGAAGCGCATACAGATGCTTGCGCGATACATGAACATAACTTACATGTCAAACAGTTGATGGGAAGTCAACGAATGCAGAGACCACTGGTACATAGACGAAAGGTGTTCTAGAGAGCCCTCCGCACAGCCGTGCGGGCTATTTTATATGCGCGTCTGTCTATTGTCCTTCTCCTGGCCAATAGACGTTGTCTGGCGCGCTAATTGGCTGTCGCATAATGGGACTGGTTTCAGTCCGTGCGCAGCAGTTAAAAAAGTCACTAGCTTTTATCTTTGACTTTCATCATTACTTATGAATTAATTTCTCTGTATTACAATCGAAGACCAAAACCATGCTGGTCACTTCCAGACATCCGCGGTACTCCATACTGTCTATGAT